ACTACCAGGGAAGACATGCCCTCAGGAGCCATTCCACTCGTTCAGCTCAAGTTGCTATTAAACTGGAACGGCGTGCCCGGGCTGAAAGCAAAGTTTAGTTTAACACAGCTCCCGACTGCCTTAAGGTAAAACTCACCGAGTAAACCATTCCAACCCAAACAAGGCGTTCTTCCAGAAGGGAATTGCACCTGTTTAATGAGCAGTTTTATTGAAACAGTGGAATTTGTTCAAGCTGAAGGAGAACTACTGATGAAGAACTAATATGAACAGCGAGGGAAGAAGCACAGAGAAAAATCCCCACAGAATAACCTCAAGAAATACAAGTTCTGCAGAACCGGCCAAGGCACAGATGTCTACAGCATGTGACCCATCGTCTGCTCTTGCCCTAAACGGAGCAGTCACAAAAGTAAAGCAAAAAGGAAAGGAGCAGTACACCACGGAGGGAGCGCCTGGAAGACCGGGATGCCTTCCCACGTACAAGCAGCGAAGCTGGAAGCCAGGAGCGGCCGTGAATGGGAAAGCCACAAAATTCCACGTGTGAACATGCTCCCACAGACCTGCGTGTGGGTTAGGAGACCTGCTCCCACAGACCTGTGTCCTCCCACAGTGATAGGACAAGGGGTAATGGGTATAAATTGAAATCAGGGAGGTTTAGATTAGATGTCAGGAAGAAATTCTTCACAGAGAGGGTGGGGAGGCACTGGGACAGGTTGCCCAGAGAAGCTGTGGATGCCCCATCCCTGGAAGTGGCCAAGGCCAGGCTGGATGGGGCTTGGAGCAACCTGGTCTAGTGGAAGGTGTCCCTGCCCATGGCAGGGGGGTTGGAACTAAATGATCTTTAAGGTCCCTTCCAACCCTAACCATTCTGTGATTCTACGATTCTACAGGTCTGGAAGTCAGCAGCAGCAATCTTCCAGAGTGAGAGAGCCCTGACAGCAAAGGACAAAGCAGCAGGCACCCAATGAAGCGTTATGGAACCGTCCGTTTCGCCCTGGCACTAAGCAGCCTCATCCCCGTCAACACCCCTGGTTTAGTTTTCTAAATAATCCTGTCCTTTACAGGAATGATCTCCTCCTTCTCCTCTCACCAAGCTAAAGATCTTTCTCCAACCAGAGTTAATGAGTCTCCATCCACTCTTCCAATCTCCGGGCACACGGCAAAAATCTCTGCTGGCCTCAGAGCAGGAATAAGCAGCCTCTTGACCCCCATCACCTTGCCACTGCCAGCAATTCCCACAAAATGACTTTGTGGTGCACGTGACAGTTGGTGACACTGACTCGGGGAGTTTTATCAGCGTCTACGCTACAGGTTTAGAGCATCTGCTTGTGTGGAGACACCCGGCTGCTTGCCAGCCCCGCCGCTTGCCAGCCCACGCGAGCTGGACTGCAAAGCAGCCCGAAGGAACCGCGGACCTTGGTGCAAGGCAACGTGTCACGTGCGGGTGTCTCATCCCTACCTTGGCACCCCAGGCCTGTAAACAGCCGAGGGCAGGGCCAGAAGGAGCAGCACAGCAGGTCCCAGGGCACAAACATGGTGTCCGGGGCTGCGGGACAAACCGGCGGGACCTCCAGGCAGAGCGGCACACACCGAGGAGGGAGCAGAAACATGCTTGAGAAGAGAGGCAGCTCAGCTGCACAGGTTTAAAAGATGCACACAGATACACCTTCTCCAGGCGTAAGAGAAGGAGAGGTGAGAAGAGGAGGCTGATGAGTTGTGCTCATCTACAGCCTTTCATCCAGCCCCAGACGGTGCTTAGGCGGAGGAACGCGTAGGAAGCAAAGCTCCTCACACGGCAGTTGCAGCCCCGAGGACTCCCTGGGCACGGCGTAGTCTCCTGTAACCCTACATCATCTATATTTCAGCGCAGCGATCTCGGGGAGGAACAGAAACCCACGTCGACTCCGGGGGGTTGTGTGGAAACGTCTGTTCCGCTCTGCCAGGCTCTGATCGAGTGACGGAAAGGTCTGATCCTTGCCCTTCCATCACCAATCCAGGCAGTTGCCTGGAAGTACGCACTGCTGCTTAAGACATCTTTAAAATTATATTTGTTCTCGTTACAGCAACAGAGCAGCCCTTAAATCAAAGGTAAGCTTTGTGTGGGTGTAAGTTCCAATGGATTTAGTATCAGCAGCTTCTTCCCTCTAGTATGATTCCTCCAATTATCTCAAGAAAAACCATTAAGCTGCAAAAGACTGAAAGTTGGAGATTTCTTTCACATAATCTGCGGCATCAGCCTCATAGCGCAACAACTGGAGAGGAATTTGTGGAAGAGTAGCAGGGCTCAGGATGGGAAATGAAGGTGTTTAAATGAAGGTTCAGTGATTTTAAAAGGTTCAATGTCAGCACGACCTCCACGGGCTAGAAAGAAAGGTTAACGGAAGGCTACGAAGAGGCTCCAAAAAGTAGCAACTTGGTGATTTCAAAGATTTTAGAACCATCTCTGGCCATTTAACCCCCACGGTTCTCACGATTGAGCCAGCTAAAGCAAATCCCAGGCCTTGGACTAAGCTGCATTGCACACTTGGGTCTTAATTTTAGGAAGGGGTGCACTGACTGACCTCAGCTCCTGCACGGTTAGCGGAGAGGGAGGAAAAGAGCACGTTCTTCATCATCAGCCTCTGCTTCTCTCGGCCCCGTTTTATCAGTCAGCTTTACCCCTCAGATCTGAGGGCCACCTTCTCCTGCAGTACAAAAGACTTTAAACTTAGAAATGAAGAGACTTCAACCCCCCAAAAAGTGTCATTCCGAAGTGCTCAACAGCCTTTAATTCATTATGAACCTAGAGGCAGAGGAAAAAAATAGGCAAAAAATACATCACATCCTTAATCTAGGGGGAGGAAAAAAAGTCATTATTTTTATAGCACATAATCAGACACTTACAGATATATTTCACTGGAGGAAGGGAGGGTAGGAATGTGCATTTCCTAGTTCCTTCTCAACAGTCTGATGCACAGAGGCCATCAATATGATCATTATAGAGAACCTGCACAAGCCATTCCTAAACCAAAAAGAGGGATGTAAAAATGAACAAAAAGGGTTCCCTCGCAACAAAGAAGGGCATTCTACAGTTCCAGGTTCACGTTTAAACAGAACTCAGCATCTGAATACGGGGGGAGGAAACACATTTGGTTTTTACAATATAAATAGTATTTTAAGGAGGTACTACATAGGAATACAGCAACGGTGCCATTTCAGTCAGGACTTCAACATGCAGAGGAAATCCCCCATTGCTCACAGCCACTCATCCCATCCCACCCTTCCCCTCCCACCTCCAAATAAAATCCTCTGCTGTTTAAATTCTCTTTCAGTGGTTTTAAGTATTTCTCTCGTGGCCTGGCAACATTCTCATTCTTTTACACAAGCAAGTTTCCTACTGAATCGTTTCCTTAACCGACAGAGCGCTACGTAGGAGTAACAACCGAGGCTTTCAAGAACCTTGCCAATTTTTAAATCTTTTATTAGTCTCAGTTTGTTTCTTATTCTCGGAGACATCTACTGAAAGCGTCAAAACCTCAAATTAAAAAAGAACCCTGTTTCAAACCTCTCACAAACACGCACGCGTGCACACGCGCACAGCCACGCACACACAGAGAAAATAACCCGTAGCAGAGGCAGGAAGGAATAAAGGGAACTCCAATTCTCTCCAGGGAGAACAAAACCCAAAGTTTAAAAAAAAAAATAACTGCTTTATTCTACCTCCACTCTTTCACTAGGACAGTTTAATACCCATCGAGTCTCTTAAGATGCTAATCTACCATCTGCTAGCCCACAAATCCTTCCCACTTATTCCCTTAAAGATCCAGCTATAGCGTTGTTCAAAAACCTCTCCGCAGAACAACGACCACCTTGCAAAGGAGCTTAAAGAAAGAATATTGGCTCTTTCTGTCCAGTAATTTCAGGGACTTAAGTGGAAAAGATTGCTGGGCAGCGCTCCGGATAGCCCTTGCCCCCCTTCACCCAGACACTGTGGAAGCCACATCCCCTTCCCGACTCTGTCCTAGGGCTGCCTGCTGCTCTCCCTCGGAATCATCAGGTCCCCCAGAGAGAGTGGAAGACTTTGCAGTGACTTCAGCAGGGTTTTGAACCAGGTTCTTTCACAAAACACTGCTCCATAACAGCTCTTCGACCGGAGGTGATTTTCACGTGTTCAAGTGGGAGCTGCCCACTCAATATTTTAGGATTTAGGTTTTGCCTTTAATGCTCGTTCAATTCTCAGTCAACTGAGTCCAATCAAATGAAGGGCTTGCATTCCTCTTCCCCAGGAGTATCTCAAAGGCTCAGTCTTTACTGAAGTAAAGGATGTCACAACAATCAAAGATGTTTGGGGAATTTCTTCTTTAATAAGATAAAAGAAAAACATACAAACACCTCCCAGGCTTCTGTCATGGAATGATTCTCACAACTGTAAGGAGCACAACTCAAAAAATAAACCAATTAAAAAAAAAAAAAAAGAGGAGACAAAAGAAAAAGGTTCCTGTGGGAGACATGCCTACCAGAGAGCCAGAGCGATTCCTCGGGCTCTAGTCTGCAGTGGGGAAGGGGGATGGCTCATCAAGGAACGAACACAAGAAGTAGCAACAGAACACTTGCCAAAAACGGAGTGGCATATTGGAACTGAAAGCCATGCTGATTTTTAACTAGAAAGCAACCATGATGGCAAAGATGGGGAAGGAAGATGACAAGAATGACCAAAACGTGGCCATTTCTTCCCAAGGTCCCTTCCTGGTGACACGGCAGAGACGCACACACCTACCACGCGTTTTTAAGAGAACTAACGGTAAGAAACAGCCCAGCTATGAAACATTTCCTTCCCCATCTTCCCAGCGTACAAAGAAGATAGTGTTTCTTTACAAAAAAGAACCCAGAACTTCCCAAGACATCTGCTCTTGCTCTCTCTCTCCCCGCTGTAGTATTAGTCACATTTCATTTGGGGGTAAAGGGGGAGGGATTTTTGTTTTATTTTCTGTTTTAAAGCCATAATCTAGAAAAATGTTTTGTGGAAACTTTCATTTTCCTATTTTTGTTTGCTTCTTTTTTTAATAATGCTCATTTATAGAAAACTTCACAAAGGTGACGTCTATGTACAGAAAACACAATTCCAAAGGCTGCTTCAGTAGTCAATGTAATAGCACCTTTAAAGACAAAAGAGTTTGACCATATTTTAAAAAGTCACTTTGTCAAACTTTAACCCTTTCCAAGCCTCATAAAAAGGAGCCAGTCACAAAGCTGTTTGTACAAACTCTTCCAGAGTCTCTGTGTGAAATGCTGTCTGAAGGTTGTTCAAACTCCCTACTCTAATGGTCAGCAAAGTCTGGCAAAGTAGAGGTAGTGTGCAGCCAGACAGGATTTTCTAGCCGTCCAAACCAAGAGCAGACGAAAGGAATTCACAGCAGGCTATTGCACAAGGATGGTCTTCAATTCAACAGTTGCTTGTTTATTTTTCCAAAGGCTTAAAAAGGGTTAATGTAATTTTTAATTAATCTTGGTTAAAACATGTTGCTCTGAGTTCCAGACTGGTACGGTGTCTGCAACAGGCTCTCCATAAAGGCCAAGTAATCTGGGTTTTGTCCGTATTCTTCGGGATTTCTTGAATTCCCCAGCCGCGGACGCTTGGCTGGTCTCGCTTCATCTCCCGAAAATACATCTTCCTGAGGGGCCCCAGTGCTGAGGGACTGCAGGAGACAGGAAAGCACAAGCATTAGAGGCACAGCAGGTACGCAGGGACACGGGTGCGAAGCATGGAACACGCCGGTGCAACGAGACGGCGGGGATAGCAAGTGAACAATCCGGTTCAGAGTACTGCTGTAGGAAAAACGAACTCCAAACCACGCAAAGCACACGGCTGAAATTAAACATTCTGGGCTTCTGAAGCTAAACTGGAAAGGGAAACCCTCGAGGTGCCGCCTTCCTGTTTCAGAGTATCTCTCACTTCACTCCTGCCTTGCCACTTCTCTGCTTACTCCCATCCTCTGCCTCTTCAGGTTACTCAGTTCCTAGGAGAAGGCACGGAGAAAACCGTGGCTTCCCTAATGTCTTTAAAAAAGACCCACAGAAAGCATTTGGGGATCGCTGCAAACCAATTGCTTCTGCTCGTCCTGCGCTCTCACTCTCGAACGAGATGCGTTTCTTGGTAGAAATTCCCTCCTACAGCTTTGGCCTTTTGTTCTGCTGTCGTACGTGAAAGCCCGGGGAGCACCACTGCCACGGCGCAGCGTCTAATGCTTCTGGCAGCGGCAAGTGCGTGAGAAAAGCCTTCACTTTCAACCTGCCTTGAAACTTCGCTCCGCTTCCAGCCCGCATTCCTTTCTCTGGAACTGCTATGAAGCCTGAGGTCTCCACTGCCAAGAGTATGTTTCTTTCCAAATCCTGTATTTCAGGCTTCCAACATGTTGTCTTGATTACCAGACACGCTTAAATACACTGGAATACTGTGCACAAACTGGAATGCTGTGCACATCCTAGAAATTAATTCTAGGGCCCTTCTTTGCCACCCAAAGTCTTCCGAGGATAACAAGGTAAATTATCATTCACCTCTAAAATTTCTGCCATGAGGTCTTACTGAGATTAACAACCTCACACAAGATGTAAAATGCTTTCTGAAACCTAGCTTCTCCAAGTGTTTTTTGGGATAAAATCCTTGAAGATTTCATGCATAAGCAAAGAAATGTTTCCTCCGTCAGTTCTTCCACAGAACTGCCTGTCACCAGGCCATTTTTGACAACCTGCATCTCACACTTCTGCTCGTGGCCACGGATTCACAGGGTCAGTGAATCACCAGTTTAACTTGGCACAGCAAGTCAGATATTGTTAAGGGAAGGTTTTTGTCTTGCAAAAGAGACAGAAGCCCACAGCCTCATCCCGGGTTGACTTTGTGGATCTGTCCTGCAGAGGCTGATATAACAGACATTTAGAATGAAGAAGAAAACTATATATTCTCCCTCTGTGTAGAAACCAATCTCATCATTTGTTTAAATGAGAAGGCTTTAAAGGTTAAAGCATCAGGTTGGAAAACACCCAGCACATCTGGAACCAAAAAGAGGTATGAAATACATCCCTTGTATTTTCTAGGCTCAGTAATTCCACTGTATGCAGTTAAAGACAACCTGATCTTTTAGATTAAGAGCTTTATAGGTAAGAGCGACGTTCTAAATCTCGTACTTGGTGAGAAACGGGGGTTTGGACCCATGTCTGATCAGTTCTCCAGAAACCCCTTAGCTGTAAGCAGTTCACCTCCCTTCTGATGAAAGGCAGTGTTCAGACAGGAGGGCAGTCCGCATAACTAAATTCATATGGTGTCAAATGATAGGAACATAATCTTTTAACCAGAGAAAACAAAAATCAGACCTGAACATGTGAAAGGGAAAAATCATTTAAATGCTTCTCAAGCATTCACATCGAGGATTTCTTCTACTCTACATATTTTGTGAATGACAAGTGGTTTTACAGCTGCAGAAACCGGAGGCTGCATTCACCTAATGTCCAAACAATATGCTAAGAAAATGTGAAGGAGAAGGATGGACAAGTCCCAGCTGCTTTGATACTCACCAGGCGAGACTTCACTCTCTTGGGGAGCTCTTCCTCCAAGGTATAAATATCACCACGTTTTACCATTAGTTGCGAACCATCTTCAAACTCGACCTGCAGAGTAGGCAGAAGGTGAAATAAGAGCTTGGCCTCTACACTTCCAGTCTTTGAACAGTCCATTCCCAGACCTCGCCACATACGGTCCCTTCACGGGAATACCAAGGCAGCATCAGGGACTAGCTCCCACGGATGATGCCCTGTTCCTGGCACTGTGTGTCCCTGGGATTGCTGCAGAATGCGTGTCCCGAAGCTGTGTTAAGGATCCTGAACCCAAAAAGTGCTGGTGCCAGTGCTGCTCAGGCACCCCTCTTATTCGGCCCCAGTGGTTTCATTCAGGGCTCCTGTGGATCCTAAAATGTCTGTATCACAGCTGGACCAGCACCTCTGCTCCCTCCTCCCAGTCAGAGCACTAGAGATTTACACTGATTTTTGATTAAAATCCTGAAAAAAAAGCAGCTTTTCACTTACAATAAAAGGCAACCCTGTAGTCAGGCAATATGGTGATAAGAATTTCTTTCCTCTTAAACAAAGCATTTTCACACGTCATAAGGAAACAATTCCAGCTACCAAAATACATTTGTATTTTAACAAGCAGAAGTAGTCAGCCAGGTACAAAGACAGTCCTAACTCCTGATATCAAACCTACTTTGCTAAGCACTGATTGTATCATGAATTATGCATGTGATGTTGCAGGAATGTTTATTCATGGAAATGTGCCTATAACAATGTTAAAACTATTAAAAACTTTTAAGAGCTTCTCATTTCCTTTGCACAAGACTTCCTACGGATGTACACAACCAGCTTAATATGGGATGTCAGGTTCAGACTGGACAAATTCAGAGCGAAGAAAGCATCTGCGCTCTGAACGCGGCCTGTGCTGCCCAGGTCTTGCACCTCATCAGTTACCCCAGCTCAGCGACGCCTGCTCAGGTCCCTTCCCGGAGCAGCATACATCAGCTGGAGTAATGATGGAGGTGGGAGAAGAGGCTCTGCTGAGCCCTACTGAGGTGGTTTAATTTGCTACCTGCCTTGTTTAGTCTCTGGTTTTACAGAGCACCACTACCATACAAGTCACAAATTCAGAAGTCGAACAGCGAGGCACCGGCCGATTGCTGTCTGACGCTTCCACTACACGAGCTCAACTTCCAGACTAAGGGCAGGATGGGCAACCGAGGGCAGTGCCATCTTAAACCACCACAGAGTGGCTGGACCTTGTTTATTTAAGTTCCAAACTACCGATATGGGTTAGACCCCTGTTAAGAACACACATTAGAGCAAATTTCAAGTTCCATTTTTTTAAAAAGCTTAGCACACAGAACAGGCACTGAGAGATGTGAACTGGGAGGTTACTGCAGAACAAGACAAGCTTAAAACGCAGAAGCGGATCCACGCCGTCTTCCTCTGAACACACTTATTTCATAACAAAACCGCTGTGTTTTTAACTATAATCTATTCCAAAACAGATAAAAGACATGCATCTTAAGTACTGAAAAAATATCTACATAGGGAACCAATGTGAAAGCTACTCAGGCTCTTCCCCAAGGAGAAGGGCTCTACTTAGAGGTAAGTGCGTGATTTGAAACACAGACTCCTCGTGCACACTCCTCTGTCATCTGGCAGGACCCATGGAAAAGCCTATTCCAACTGAGCGCCCCTCCGAGAAATCAACGGCAGTTTCCTACGGGGTGACTAAACTGGAAAGCGCGCGTAGCGACGGATGTCGATGGAGCTACATGCTGTGCTGATTCACAGCCAGGGTCACCTCGGATCCTGCCGTCCCCGCAGCAGGTAACACCCCTTACACGCACCGCAAAGACTGGGGGCTGACAAGGTGGGTTGTTGTGCTCTCCACGCACAGACATGAAACGCCCTGCGTAGAAAGGACAGAAACCACAACCCCATTTCAAACAAATACAAGCTACGGGACTTCCTTTGCCTTTGTCCAGAGGCAATCAATCTCTTCAAAATAACAATTATTTGCAAATTTCAACATATATTTTTCAAAGGGAAGTGCACAACGTGTACTTTCCACGTCACTGTAATTCTCATCTCCTTGGTACCATTTAAAAAGGATTTAATCAAATGAATGTACCTCATTTCATAAAACCTTTTGTGCTGAAACCTAAAGGTGCAATCTTCCCTTCACTGACTATTACAACCTTCCACAAACAAAAATCCCTTATGTGGAACAGACTCAAAGACAAAAAAACCCAACAAACCCAGACCTGGCTGCAGCTTCTCTCACCTTAAAAGCAGAGATGGTGAGAGAGTGTGAGCCAAGGGGTTGAGGGTTTCTGATTTCTCACTTTTTTTAATGAAGGACATCATTCCCACAGGCTGCTGCTGCTCTACAAAGTACCTTGCCAAGACCAGAGGATTATTCCCCCCTTGAAGCAGTCTCCTAACCCATCCTTTCCCTTACTTCCTCTCAAAGCATCGAGGAAAGTTGTGATTATGTAAATGTTGACTCGTGGGGACCTACGGCGACAAGCTCAGCTCCTGCCACAGGACAGCCACAGAGAGCCGTTCCATAGGTCACTCTGACCCCAGTCATCTGTGTCAGATCTCAGCTACAAGGAAAAGGGCAAGTTTATTTTCTATTTTGACAGCAGATACAGCCTAAACATATGCCTATCCACATCCTGCCACAGGAAACCTTTACCCTGATCCTATTTTAACACTGTATTTCTCTTTAGACTACCAGCAGTAGTAATTTCAGAAGCCAGGCTCTCCCTTCACGCCCGGAGCAAGCATTCAACACTTGGGAGCTACACAATGGACACGTCGACACGAAGCAGGTGCCTACTGCTCCACTCACCTGGTAAATCTGACTGATCTGGGCTGCAATAAACTTGGCCTTGTAGACGACTCCATCTGTCCACTGCAGCTGAACCAACTCGCCCTCTGGAGGGGGTCCCAGTTGGACGCAGTCTCTGCTCTGAAGACGTAAAGAGAAAGAGGTCAGACAGCCAACACCAAAAAAGCTCCAGAAATAGGTAAAGACCTGTTTTACAATCACTGTTCAGTGAAGTTGCTAGATAACACAATTAATTAAATATAAGAAAGTTTCTGCACTTGTGATTAATTGCAGGCATCTCAAACAAACCCATTACCTAGGGAGAGACCAGAAATAAGCACTTGCCCCTCCTTCTGGGGCCAGAATTCTGTTCTGCAAAATCTCTCATTACAAATCCCAAAGCATCAGATCTCCTGGATCAACAAAAACAAACAGGGTGACCTGCTCTGTTTCACATGGTGAATCAATGGCACTGGCAGGACGAGAAAGCTGACAAGTCAGCCCCTTCTAGACATCCCTTCAATTTGGTGAATTCCCTCTTTTGAACCAGAAGTGCTTACAGACAATCTGCTTCCCCCCCGAAATCACACTTGTCAGTTGAAAAATAAAGAGGTTATTCAACCACAAAACAAACAGGGAGCAACTGAAAACAAACACTGCTTTCTGGAAAGTCATCTGCATATGGCAAAAGCACATCTTTGTAAAGGGACAAAAAAAATGACATGAGATAATGTCATAAACAAGAACAGTAGGGAAGAGCAGAATGAGTTTTTCTGTGCAAACAGCAGCTTTACTTTTTAAATTAAGGTTCTTTAAGTTTTACTTTGTTGTTCCACCCCAGAGGGCACGGAAGAGGACTTTGTACTCATCTACAACAGCACTAGTCTCCACAGAGAGCTGCTTACAATAATGCTTTCTGGGTAAACGTTGTCACTGTATGAACCATCATCAAAGTTCACTTCATAGAAAGTCTGTGTTGTCATGCCAATCACTTTACATCTGTAGTAGAGTCCATTCCGGTTCTTTGTAATCACAGTCTGTCCGAGGGTCACCTCCCTTCGAAACGGAATCTGTGTTAGGGAGAAAAGGGAGTCATTTGCAGGTTGCAATCGTAAAAGCTGTGTCAAAAAATACAGGTGCAGAGAAACTGTTGTATACATAAACACACCCCCAAATAAAACACACACACCAAAAAACCAGACCAAACCCACAAACCGAAACCAAAGCTCATACATTCTGGTTAGCTGCTTTGTGTTTGAAGCAAGTGATGGACACAACATAGGGCCAGTCGTCTGGCTCCATGGGCACGCCGGCCGCGTGGGCACAGGTCACATGGAAGGAGGTGGAGCAGTGCTCGTAGGAGCACTGGATGCAGGCACCAGACACCCTCTTCATCCGTTTCCGACAGTACACACATTTCTGAAAAGAAACGCAGGGCAGCGTTATGCAGGCAGTCAACAGCACGGCACCCGGTACCCGACACGCGGGAAAAGGCTGTATTAGCAGCGTCTGGGGCTCAGAAGCCACAGCCCAAACGGGTGACGTTTGCTGCTGAGAGGTCCTGTCCAGTAGCTTCAGAATTGCCTACATGCACATGCCTACGATCACTCATCAGCAGGTACTCACTCAGCATCCCCACGGACAACATCTACCAGTAACGCAGCCCTCCCGAACCAGCCAAGCAGGATGAAACCTGTTCACTGGGGGGCTGAGCGCAAGGGAGGGCACAACAGGCACCCCCCCGTCAGTGGCATTAGAGAACTGCTACAGCTCAGCGCTCATCCTCCTTAGATACAAGGAATGTAGCCACGTGAATTCAAACGGCAGCCCCATCTTTGTGGATACGCTGCTAGAAAATAACGCTTTCATCGTTTGAAAGAACAGAACACATAATAACTGCGTAATAACTTGTTCTATTATATTTTAGGGAACATTATACCTATTAGATCTAATGGAATATAATTCTACATAATGGACCACATATCGCGTGTTTATTTTACACACATACACATATCAACTGTGAGTATTTTCTTCGTACCCATATCAGACGAGCTATTGTAGATAATTCAGTCACTGGTTTGCAAACGGAAGAAATGAAAGCATTGTCCCAAACACCACAATTACAGAGCAAAAAAGGTATTAAGTCATTCAGTATTTCCTAAACTCATTTTCAGCAAAGCAGGCCCAGTTATTAGGCTAATCTAATCAGAGAGCACTTAGGGGGCACAGGTAATTAGCTTAAGATGTGCAACTAGTTTTAAACAAAATCTGAATTTTTTCAAAGCTAAGAATCACAAACCTTTCGGCACTGCAGACCCCACAGCAAGAATTACATGTCAGTGGGAAACGAGATGCACTTCCTCACACCCTAACAGTACCAAACTCTTGTTTCCAGCCCCTCAGAAATATAGAAGACCAGATTTTGGGAATCGCTATCTAGAGAAATTCACATTGGACACTTGTGTAACGTTTCCAGGGAACTATTTGGAAACACCATGCTTGGCTTTTAACTTTTTAAGTCTAGGGAACCTGTCATGGAGCGGCGGTAGCTTCTTTACATTATCTGAGCCTCGGATAAGGCAAAGGAGGGAAAAATCAGTGACAAACACGCGTTTATGAGCAGCTGATGCAACTAAAACCCTGAGAGACATCATGTGCCCATGAATCTGACTACACAGCGATGTAATTCATTCACAACAAGGAAATAATTTCCACATATAAGGACGAAGAGGGGGAAGCAGTAATTTTAGTGCCCGTCTCCAAAGCACACCACGCTGGCTTGCTCCAGCCACTGCCCCTCTCCCAATCCATCCACTCCTCTGAACATAAATGTGCTGTAAGCACACGACTGACAGCTGCTTTTGCTTCCTGCTGGGTCTGATATTAAACAGGGCCTTTCTTCCCCTCTTTGTGGCCCCTCGTCTACCTCGCTCCCATTCAAGAAATGCTCAAAGTATGCAACATTGCAGAACACGTGACCTCAATTTTAAGATCCGTATGAATTACTGCATCCCACGGGATTAGAAATGTAACGTAAGCTGCCCGAGATCACACAAGCAGCAACACAACCCCCAGAAGTGCAAATTCACTCTGCTTCTAGGTCTGAGCTTCAAAGTGTACCCTCAAAAGAGTGAGGAGTGGTTTCGTTCTATAAACTATCCAGAAACTGCAAAATTCCGAGGTTACGTTTTACTTGCGTTATCGCAGCCGAGAGCCAGGGCCCCACCGCGCTAGCTGCAACACATCGCCAAGACAAACAAAAGACCGTTCCTTCTCCAAAGAGTTATTTCGCTTTTCCTTGAAAGCTAACCACGCAGAAGGCAGGGAGGTGCATTCTTCCCCATTTCTGTGCCACATCACCCCGCCTTGGCTGGGGTCTGCCCCACGTGTAGACGAAATAAGGCAAATTCACTTCCTGTGAATTACGTGAAGTCAGTATGTTTGCACCAAAGATTAATTTGGCCTTTTTACTTAAACTAACAAAAGCCAGGAAATTCAAAGCCAGAGCCTTAGTGTTGCCAGAATGTGGGTTTTAGTACTTAATAAGCAATGCCGTTATCGCTCTGTAAACCATGTTCCAAAGCCAGATAAGCAGCACAGCAAAGCGCACAGCAGGAACACGGCACCGAGAGCAAGTCAAGAGCAGTGAGCTCTCATTATTAAACTGTCGATACCCAATTCTCCCACCAGCAGGGACAACGGCTGATACACAGGGTGCTCGATGCAGCCTCTCAAGAGAGCATGAACTCTCCGGTATCGGGAATCTGCCTTCATTGATGCGAACGGGATTCTTCCAAGGATTAGCACCCAGCTAATGACATCCCTGTGGCAAGGCAAACTCCTCATGACAGGCAAAAGAGCTCCGTCCATGGAATGTTCAGAGCAAGTGTGATCAAAGGAGGAAGAAAAATGTCAGCTACAGCAAGACTGAAATGTAGAAGGTGGCGGAAGGAGTGAAAATGCAGAAAATCTGGAAGTGTGGGTGACGGGCTGGAGCAAAGCACCGGGGCCAAGCGCTGTGGTAAAGCAGCACATGTAGATTTTCAAGACATTTTCTGTGGGAGGGGAGGTGGCAGGATGAGAGAAGGCCTAAAGCACAGGAGAAATCTTCAGAATAAATGCTCACCGGAGAGTCGGGTCATAGCTGAGAGTAAGAAATGGGCTGTCTCCTGCATGATGAACACTGCAATTCATTTACTCCACTGAGGAATGACAGCTAATTATTCCAAATTTCCACGTCATAAATAATTTACGTGCACAGGCCCATGATACACCATTAATCAGGAGGCATGCAAACTGCATTCTTCAAAGTGATGCAATGCCCACAAATGGACTGAAAGGTCTGCTTGAAAGGGGAGGCCTGGTGCATACTCCAAGAACAGGGTGTACCTTTAAACAGCTCACTCCAACTCCTCGTTACCTCAGTCCTCTCACAGCAACTTAAAACAATACAAATATACTAAAAAAATCAAAAAATATTCACAGATAACCCTCCCTTCTCCTCACTCCATTACCTTCATCCTTTCACTTCAACTGTCCTCATCTTCACATCATTCCTACTCTCCCTTTCCATCTTTTCCAGCAACAAAGGCCATCTCTCCAATTTTACCTAGTGCTGCATCAACTCTGTCATTGCCAAAGTTATCAGATCCAACACTGCTGCCTTTTAGTCCCCTTCACCTTATTTCCTAAATGCAGCTGCGTGCCTCCGAAAAACAGACACCCCCCAACCCTCCACTGACTCCCCACGTGCTCCATGAACTACCTGCAAATTCCTATAAAGAATCCTAAAACTCTCCACAACAGCTCATGAGTGTGTTTTTCCACAACCCTGTCCAATTTAAACTTCCTTTGCCCTTCACACACTGCACCACTGCCCTTACATTCTGCCAGCCCAGTTAACGGTTTTTTAATCTTTACCTAGTTCATAACTCTAAAACCCATTTCAATTTTAGCTCAAGATAATTTATTTGCTTTCCTGTAGCAAACGACGCTCAAAAAGCCACAATGTACGTGTGACAACACCAACTGTTTTCAACAGGCTTCGCTGGTGCGTGCATACATACTGTAAAGGCAGTCGCAAGTATTTGTTATAATCAGCCTAAATACAACAGTATTTACCTGATGACATTCCCGATCACAGAATAATTAGTCTGAAACCCTACTTCTTACATCCTACCAGTTGGGCTAGCTGCACTGGGGCACCAGGCATCTTGGAGAGGGATTACACTGGCATGCTGACAGAAACTCAAGACCCAGACCTGAACCTGTGTCCTAAGCCAACATGCCCTGCTGGCAGTCAGGACAGACCCTGGCAGAAACAAAACAGCATTACACCTCTAGAAAAGCTACTCTGCTTATGACAGAGCAGTGTGCAGCATCATCCATACCAGCACTTCCCAAGTGAAGTGCTTAAAGCCAGGCTTTGGCAAAAATTGAGCTACAAGCCAGGCTCTTGCTAACCTCAATGTAAGGAATAAAGTACCTGTAAATCACATTCTTAGACTGTGTAAGGCAAGGTGCTTCATGTAAAAATTCTCTGCCTTTCCTGAGACATGAAGAGAACATGAGGTGCAAATGGAATACAAGGCTGAGGAAACGAGCAAAACGATGAGGCTGTAATTCAGGGATGAAACAGAAAGATGTGTAGCAGGTCTGTGCAGAGGCTTGGGATGGCACAGCCAATGCTTGGGAGCAGAAGGGAGACGCAGTGTTACGTACGTTACTACTACCCTGACTCTACAGGAGTGTAAGGTAGGCACAGAAGAGTTAAAGATTAAGTCATGTTTCCTTGTGAGGCTCCATTAAGCAATACAAGCGAGTCTTGTGTAAAAGGATTTTTAGTTCATCGTTACAAGTGCTGGTAATGAAGAGGATGCATGCTGGAAATGTCAGATGATCCATAAAGAACCACTGCTGCAAGATTTATCACCCTCACATCACACCGCTCCATCACTCCACCTGAATAATGAATGCTTTTTACATTCACATTTGTGTACAAAACCCATTTGCACAACAGAGAAATAACTCTGGAAGCAGACTCTTCCTCATCTCTCATCCAGGCCCTGGCTGGGCTGCCTGCACTAAATAGCTGCCCCGTTAACAAATACACCAGTGCTACCCCATGTATCACTGCTACACCCCCTTCCCCCACACCCAACTGCCACCCAGCTGACTTCTGCACGAGAAAAGCAGCAAAAGCACAATTTATTTTGCAATAACACACTATAGCGATGGGGGCATTAACTAACATTAAGATTAATTGCTCTGAGCTAATGAATCATCCATTACTAATCCCTCAGACGAGGCTATGCAGCTGAATAACAAGTGGTAGCTGGACTTTGAATTCTTTGCAGAGTCCCACCTTGCAGTCACGGTCGCAAAGAAATGTTTATTAATTTCTATGAGAGATTTCTTGATAGAGCAAGAGAAATATTGTAAAGAAAGACAAATCAAATTACAGATGAACAAGTCAGCGATGTGTCAGCTGCTTTCCAGTCACCACATCCCTTCACACTCCTGCCCTGCAGTGCTTTTGGCAAAGGAAGGTCTCGGGTAGCTTAGCCCTGACTGCCAGGAGGGTGAGTGTCCCAGGCTCTGCCCAGGGTAAGAGCACACTCCTGGAGAGTGAAGGCACGTGTAGTCATCACGACTCGTCTGTATGTCAAAGCACTGCGATAGTACCTCAGGAAGCATCCAAACGATACAGCTTCCTGGTGCATTTGGAAGTAAGAGCAAGATCACCACCTCCAATCTCAGCTTTTTATGATCCCACACAATGTTTTTCTGTCTAGTTGAAGCCCTTTTTTGGGAGGCTTTTGTCCAGAAACACTCTCTACAGGTGTAGACACCTACCAGTTTCAATCTCTGCTCTGGAATAGCACTGATATCCACAGGATGACGCTCTATTACACTGACAAAACGGGCCTCGGGGACAGCAATAGCACAGATTATATGGACCCACCTGAAAAAATACGTTAAGAGAGAAATCAATGTCTACCACTGTTTGAATTAAATACTCCAGAGGGCACTTAACATTTCTTGGACTCCCTCAGTATCAAGGCATATTTAGGGTGGTCGGCAGCCTTGACAACAGTACCAACTGCCTGCTAATCACAGTTGCACAAGGTAAATGTCCCTGGAAGAAGAGCGATAAACCTTCTGATGCATCTGATTTTCCATGATACTAAACATTCTCTGAAAAGACTTTGGTCTCAGAATGAACCAAATTTAACAGTGTTCAGAGACACATTTCCCCTGCTCCTGAAAAACCTGGTGCAGAATGTAAGACAGCACAGTTATTCAAACTCATCCTGCCAATTTAGAGAGCAGCCGTGGCTTCTATAATGCCGAAACTAGGTGTTGCACTGAGCATCAAGACCAAATTCACAACACTAGAACGTTAGGTGCAGTATGGAAGGACAAAATACTTAAACACAGCACTTACCACCCATCAGTGGTCATCTGCAGAGCTCCTCCCCTGAGATTACACAGGCAACATTCCTGTGGGAACAAAACAACATCAGAACCTGACCAAAAAGCTCTGCTAGACAGCCTATCATTCCCCAAAAAAATACTACACCACATCTGGCATGCAAAGGCAAGCTGTACCTTCCCACCACCCATCTCTGTCAGAGTATCTAATTATCTTTTTTTTAGATTTCTAAGTCAGTTTGTCTCCAGAGCAGTAGAGGCTTAAATGCTTACCGCTGTCCATGCACTGGCTGAGCACCGTGAGCAAGACCAGCTTTCATTCACCAAGTCCGGACGTATTCCGTAACAGCCTGAAAAAAAAACAAAAGTTACATCCTTCAGAGTTTTGCTAACACAGCTGTAGCACTGACTTGTTGCCTTCTCAGTTCAGAAGCATCTTTCCAATCAGGTGCAGCATTTGAGTAACTATATTCCATACTCTGGGCTCAGTCAAAAGTCGTAAGTGAAGTCATCTTTGGGATGGTGGGAAGAATTTGGGAGCAGAAGGTGTAAAAATGAACAGGTAGCCCTCAAAATTTTTTTCCCTTCTTTTGCAAGGACTCCAATAGCAGTACTTTGATCCTGCAGGCAAGTACTGGCCTCAAAAGTGATGCTACCACTGCTGGAATGCACATCAAACAGTTAAAACCATTGAATTATGGCATGACTGAGCAGTCATCTTTGCTAAGTGGTGTGATGAGGAAGGACAAACCCACTAATATTGCAAGGAAATTAAATACATGCATTTCAGATATTTAACAGTATTGAAATGAATAGTAATTTCTGGTTATATGAAGCGTTAGGAACATCTGACTTTACAGACTGCCAATGACAGTCATGTGCAAGCACCAAATCCTCCTATGTACTTCTCTGCAGCACCAAAATAGTAAAGTGGTGTTCTAATTATTTTAAAGACAGGGGAAATAAGGCCAAAAAAGCCCTTAAAATTCTGTAAAAGGCAGTGAGGTTTGCCACTGAAGACAGAGACAGGCCATACAAGTATTTTTGAAAAATTGGATCTAAGGGATTCCTGCAAGCTAGCAAAGAAAGCCTGTGGCAGAAAACTAAACACACCACAAACTGCTGGCCAGCATCCTACCTAACACTAAGTTCATCCCATGGCCTTTACCCATCCTAACAAAACTACCTAAAACTTCAGCTGGGAACGACAGTCCCAAATTACTGAATTACACTTGAAAGAAGTTATTCAGAAAGCACTGAGATTGCGACAATAACCTGATTTATAAAAATCATCCTCTTAACCCGATAAACATTATGTCAAAAAAAGTCAATAATATAGATCCACAGCTGTCTTCCACATCTGAAGTCTCTTTCCATCATATGGCAAATCATGACAGCAGATTCAACCCTGTCCTAGAAAATGGGGAGGGTTGAGACTCTAAAAAGCTGATCTGGAGACAGCGGAAAGAAACGGACACCCTGAACTGAAACACTGCTGGAGCTCCAACGGCGTGGAACAGGCTGAAACCTCAGCCCCGACTCCTTGTTGAGGACCACAGGTAGCTGGACTATGGGACCTGAGGGGAGACAGTCACACGTACTGAACACCAGACTGTCCCGTAACGATGATGGTGTAGAGAAACTCCAGTTTTGTTTACACTGGAGACCACATCAGGCCAGATTTAACTTCAGTCCTATCCTCAAGTGTAGAGCACAGCCAAAATGGAAAGCTGAGTTTCTCTACACCCTGATAGAGACTGCAGATTAACATCTCCATGCCCACATCCCTCTGTGCCTAAAGGAGAGTTGGGCCACTGAAAGCATTCTGATGGACTGGACTACTGAAGACTTAGGGATGTACAAGATCACAGAATCATAGACTTGTTTGGGTTGGAAGGGACCTTGAAGAACATTCCAGTTCCAACCCCCCTGCCATGGGCAGGGACACCTTCCACTAGACCAGGTTGCTCCAAGCCTCATCCAGCCTGGCCTTGGACACTTCCAGGGATGGGGCATCCACAGCTTCTCTGGGCACCCTGTCCCAGTGCCTCCCCACCCTCTCTGGGAAGAAATTCTTCCTGATATCCAACCTAAACCTCCCCACTTTCAATTTAAACCCATTAACCCTTGTTCTGTCACTCCCTGCCCTTGTAAAAAGTCCCCCCCCAGCTTCCTTGTAGCCCCTTCAGGCACGGGAAGGTGCTATAAGGTCTCCCCAGAGCCTTCCCTTCTCCAGGCTGGACAAGCCCAACTCTCCCAGCCTGTCCCCATAGCAGAGGTGGTCCAGCCCTCTGATCACAATTTGTGAAGCCGGAAAGCAGTCCTTATCCTCACACTCACTCTGCATCACATGCTCTTATCAGCCAGAAGTGACCACCATCACGGATGCAGCACAGAAATAAAAGCTACGTTCTAGTCCTGCACAAGAGACAGTCGTGCTGAGCTGCACGGTGACCTGTGGACTACCAAACCGGAACAAGGAAAGTAATTCCAGCTGATGCAAGTCAAATAAGATTTCCCATCTGTCAAGATCAGGCAGCTGAAGAGTAATTTGTCACTCCTCCTAGTACAAGTGCAAATGTTAACTAGATGTCACACTATCTACAGTGAAGGTACACTCTACCAGGATTAATCAGATCTTCTTGTAGACATTACTATCAGGGAAACACACAGACACACGTTCCTTTTTGTAATCAAGTGCCATTCCTACAAACAGTAACACAGACAGCAATAAAACAGATCTCCAACTACACCATAATCTCTGCTGCACTCAAGGACAACACCACCTTACCCAGCAGGCCAGTACTTGAGCCAGCAAAAGAGTGCTATCGGCTTTGTGATTTCTGCTTGAGTACAAAAAACGGGAGATAACAAAAGAAAGAATCTTCCCTGTGAAAGAGAGAAGAACCAACCAACAAACCAAACAGCAAAAAGAATTATTTGTGTGCATTTTTAAGATCAGTGACTGCCAAGGTGCACTTGAATACACAGACATACTAGGAAAGGAAAAAGGGGGAGTGACAGGTATGGCAAGCGTGCCCAGAAGGAATTCAAGGATAGGCAACATACAAAGAAAGGAGGGAGCTTCTCAATACCCAAAACGCTCTGGTGAAGAAGGAAACACTCACTGGCATGAACCTGCAGGCAGCATTTGGCACAGGATATCAAGGGACTGGTTCCATCCTCTCCAATATATGAATTTGAAGGAAGGGGCTCTGTGTTCTCTCCACCTGAGGTAAAGCACATCTCCGGGATCAGAGGCTTGGTCTTCTGTCCGCACTTAGAAAGGTGGACGAAAGAGGTGGTCTCCCCTGCAGAGACTGGGACAGCGTCTTTATCCATCTGTAAGGACTTAAAGAGAAAACACCATCATAAGGAATTGCCTCTTCCCTGATCACAATTTTAACCTGAAAGTCAGAGCACTCTCCTTGCACCAAACGCCATCCAACACCTGACGCCGTGCAGCAGAAATAATGAGTTGTAAATCCTGTCTTCTCGTGCACACCCTTGCCCCTGCCTTTTGCTCCTCTCCTGTACTGGGAGCTGCAATTTATTCTGAAAGCTCAAAGAAGTATTAAAATAATGAGAAGTTTTGCCTGGTTTTTTGTAAAAATCTAAACTCCTGAACTGCAGCTGAAAGCACCACAGGAAAAAACAGGAGAATATTAATAAAAGCAAGACCTTCCCTTCCCCTTTCCCATCCTTTTGGCATCCTTCCCTACTCTTTCTGCAAGAATCTCTCCAGAAGGACATTTCAAGGTTTCTGGAAGCAGACCAGAGTTAAAAACAATGGATTAAACCAGCCCAGCTGCACCCAGCTTTCCTTACAACCATTATACAACATCCAGCAATCAGAACCGATAATTTATATTCGGTCTGTATAATAAATCGAGAGATTTTATTGAAGGGGAAGGTGGGTTCTGCTTTTCTCAGAAAAAGCTTCCAACACGTCTATAGGCACCGAAGGCTCGTATTCCTAGTGGGGACACAAAACCAGATTTGGCTCTGTAAGCATGGAAGAACAAATCAATACACAGCTGGGCAAATAACTTATTCATCTGATAAATTCTGCCTTCCTGCTCATAACACATCCCAAAGCATACTGGTACTTTCCAAAACATGATGTATGTGCTTACTCAGTACATTTTTATTTTGTTGCTTGTTTGCATACATTCTGAAGTCCGGGCGCTGATCTAAGCGAGAGCGATCACATGCCCGACAGGGCACTGTTTCCCTGCACGAAACACTGTTTGCAGTGCAAAGCTCTTCATGTGTGATTTAAAAAATGAAAGCTGAGCGAGCCAGAGAAGCCAGGAAAGAGAACAAAAAAGGCTCCCTTCACTACCTCTGCCAAATGCAAACACGCTTCTCTGGTGTGCAAACGTGTACGAACCTTCTTTCTGCATTGTCACTGACACCGAAGGCACTGCTCAGCGCCCACCACGGACACGTCCATCTGAGCACCGTCAGGAATTACCTGGTTATAGGGGTAGAAGAGGGTGCAGACCGCACAGTACGGCTCACTCAGGGCAGCGGCTGCATTGAACTTTCTTTCAGCGGAGAAATTATGTGGTTTATTCTTCCACTGGAAGGAAAGTAAAGATCTCAAGGCCTCTGGGTCACTCATATCTTCCTCTCCAGAAAATGGAAATGTTTCTAGAAGGGGAAAAAAAAAAAAAATCCCAAACCAACGGTCAGTCAGTAGAGGCAAAACGCAGCAAGGTGGGGTTAAACAGCTAATGCTTCGACAGCACAAGAAGTTCAGTAAATAAGAACATTCACCTCACATGTCTATGCCTCAAATACTTTCTTAAACGACATAATCTCCACTTCATGGGTAGGACAGGGAAGACAGAAGCACCCGTGACCTAACTGAACCGGCTATGAGGAAGAAGGAAGAGGACCTAGATTTGCTGCCTTCATAATTCTCTCCACTTTCCAGCTGGGGAAACCTAAACCAGCCTTTTAAAGAAGCCAAGATCAAAATGCATGATGCAAGGACATCCCCCTTTCCTTCCTCCGACGGGGAGCTGCATTCTCTGGAAGACGCGCACGCGCTTCATGCTTGTTGGGCTAGGCCCGCTCTTAATTCCCAGCCATCAGCAGCAAGTCTGGTCTGACCTTCCCAAAGTGCATCCCGTACCTGTTCCTGCACACACAGACCTTGGCCATGAGACATCCCGGGTCTGAGCTTTCACTTTACTTTTCCGCAGCTGCTTCCCAGCTCTTTCCAAGAGGCACACACCACCTCTTCTGCTGCCAGGGCTCTGACAGGTGCTGCTTGTGCTAATTAGCTTGTCGATTCTTTGGTTTTACAAAACCTTTAACAGGCCCTTGGCATTTGATGGTTAAACCACCGCAGAATCCAGTTGTGTCACTCTGGGGGTCCAAGTTACCATTCCTTATTAAGGAATTTTACTAAGCACTGAAGACATTTTCCAGGCAATTCTGAGTGCAAACCACTGTCAATCCACAAAGTTTCCAACAGAAGAGCTTTGGCCAGGGGAACTCAAAACCATCTTAGTGGAACATTATCCCCAGAGCTCAGCACATTAAACCAAATTGTTCACTGCTTCTCTGTTAATTACTGGGAATAGCAGTTAATGTTCTGCTCTCAGCAAGTCTAAGTCTCCTCCCCATTTCTACCTCCCTTTTCAGAATTTCAGACTCTTAGGTTACCAGCAATGATAAAAGGAATTGTAGTAAAAAACTAATGGCTAAGTTTACATCTCAGATTTAAAGTGTTCCCCCCAGGTAATCCAATACATATTTTCCAGATGCTGTGGGAAATTTTAGTGTGTTCAATTAATCGATTCTTTTTTTGAGATGACGAACGGTCTGTCTATCTGTTGTGCTTCATATAAGGGTTTACTTCCTAAAAAGCACCTTTGCTTTCTTACTACATTTTTATCTTGGACTAAACTGGCAGCCATTTCTGTTAGCCTACAGATAACTCCATCGCCTTTTCCACCACACTGCATGGGATTCAGTGGAAAGGGAGAAAAAGAGGAACAGCCTTGCCAGCGGGTGAGCTGGGCTTTCCTTCCTAAGGGAAGATACTGCTCATGGCAGGAGCCACCTGCCAGTTCAGCGCGGGCCAGGCTTGAGCTGGCCCTCAGAAGCACAGATGTACAAGGAGGTGTCTTAACTTCAGCCTCACGTGTCCGCACCTCGTGTAAGGCACAAATCCAATTCAAAAAGACCAGGGACCTCGGGCATGCAGACCGATACTTTGAAGACTTCCTCCTTTCAAAGCAGAGCTCAACCCTCACCTTTTGAGGAAATCGAGCACCTTTAACAGCATTTTAAGACATCACCCAAAACGCAAACCACATGCTCGTCCAAATTTCAGTCAAGGCACATCAGGAGACAGGCAAGGATTTACGGTACCAGTGAAGTCAATGAAACCAGCATCATAAACCAGAGTGACAGACTGAGAGAAAAGGAAATGACTGTTGTATGTCTCCATCACCTCCGCTCATCCCAGGAGGGATTCTAGGTGAGACAGGGCATTCAGGACAGCTCCCTCATTTCAAGCAAGTTATACCCAAGTAGAAAAGGCTAACAGTTTGTCTCCACTGAATCTTAGTGTGGCAAATGCATTCCCTTATTTACATGCTCACTCTTCCTCACTGCAGCCTCCACATCATTCTTACACATTATCCCTGAAAAAACAAGGAGTGCAGAGAGCTGCTTCTATTCCCTGGCAGGGAAGAGAAGAATCTGTTTGATCAGATTTTGCCCAGCAGTGCTGTAAATCAGTCCCCAAGAAATGCCAGCTTCCACAGAAAGCTGCTCCCGAGTCAGACAGCAAAGTCTCCAAACACCATCCAGCAAGTCAAACCAGTGAAAAGCAGCTGTCTAATGAGGATCCTCAGCACAAAGCCTGTTGCAAGGTCCCACACCAAAACAAGATAACTAGTCTCGACTGCCTTTCAACACTTCACACTGCGCATACGCAAGACATCAACTGCATCATCCCTGGTAAGGAACCAGAGCTACGCACGCACCACATCTCCCCTTCTGATACACCCCGTCTCTAAAACCAGTGGATGTATTCTTGGAAGGAAAGTGAACAGGAGGGAGGTTGTCCTGACAGAAAGTTTTAAACACCGTGAAAGCAGGGACTGCCAAGCACATCTCCATGTACCTGCGCCAGCACGCCAAAGCTTCTCACCGTGAACTTTTCTATATTCAAGTACTTTGTAACGTGGACAAACCCAGAAGTGGTAATCACACCTCACAGCACAGAAAGAGGTAAGACTCGTGTTTTGCTCTAGACTTATGGCATTCACAGTGACTGGGATGTGGGAAAAGAAAAATCAGTGATGTACAGTTAAACACAGCGAGACTTTAAGTCTCATTTCTGCATTTGCCAAGAAAAGTTGGACCCCAACATTCACATGAATTAAAAAGCCAATCTAGAAGTTACAATTAACTTTGCCTTTACAACTAACAGCAGACCTAACCCCCGCCGCCCTCGAGGTGAACAGATCTCATTTAATGCAGTAGCTAAGAAAGAGCTTTTACTTTAAAGATGTTATTTTCTGTGAACTATTTTTTTTCCCCTTTGCCCAAAATGGTGCCTCATTCTGCAGCCAGCAAAATATTTTTCTTAAGAGAAAAAAGGGTGGGAGGTGAGAAGGGACACCTCCCACAGATGAGTTTTGTTTCCAGCTGGGTTATCTAAATGGGAACACACTGCATTTTCTATCCATTAAGCAAAACACACAAAGTTTCAGACCATCCAGTTGCATTAATGGCTTCAACAATTTTTCAGATCAGACGAGACGTGCACACGTTCCTCATGCTCATGCACTTACCCTCATCACTCGAGGTCTCTTGTTTAACCACTGACAATGGGGAGCGGGTTGGTGGCTTGCCCAGTGGGTGGCGACGACTCTTCTTTATCTCCATCTTCATTTTTGAAAAAGCAGAAGTGGTCTGTAAGAAACCAGAACAAGCTAGATGGGAACCCCAAAACAAGCAAAGGAGAGTACAGGACCACAGAGGCAGATCCCCTGCCATGCAGAGTTCTTCCATTTCCACAGCAAACTTGTCACCGCCTTTGGCTGTAATCAATAAAGTATCCTAAGCCAATTACTGTAGCAGATAAAGCCAGTGCTATCTCTTAAGACGTCAGGTAAACTACAGTGTTTTCGTAAAATCAGAACAGCCTCAGAACAGCTTCAAACCTGCCAATTCCATTAGCTTATGAAAAGTCTGGTCAATCACATGAACAGCAAAGAATTTGGACACAAAAATCATCTACAGAGTCCATCATTACTAATGTACAGACCAGAAACATTTTACTAGAGCATTCCAGTGCACTTTATGAGAAGTGTATGAATACTGTACCGTACCCGCTGCCCCGTGTGCCACCCACCACTGCAAACCGCAGGGGCTCGGTCCCCGTGGGCGATGGGCCCCGAGCGCTTCACAGGCCAGTTACTTTGCACCAGAAACCGACGGTGCTTTGGGTCACAGACTTAAGACCAGCAGCAGTGCCACAGCTGCAGAACGAAACCCAAGAACGTTCCACAGGAGTGAGCAGAGATGAAGGTACTCACGGCAGCCCAGCATGGCACAGCACAGCGGTATTTTCCTCTCTAGCCTGCAGCCATTCTGCCTCAGAAGCACCAGATGTGTTGACTGTGCCGGGCTGGTATGGCAATGCACGTTTCCCCTTCTCCCCACAATTTCTAATAGCGCTCTGCCATCCCCTTGGCTCTTTCAGCAGCATCATGCAGGAAAACAGATCCTCATTATATCGCTCTGACTTGCTGCTAATTCCTGAATATTCTCCTCTTCCTCTTGTGGAAGCCGTCCACAGGAAAGCACTCCCCAAGAGATGCCCGAGAGAGATTACATGCCATGAACAGTACTGTGCATGGAAAAGTTTTCTGCCAACTTTTCCAATTCTGAGTCTCATGATGGAAAAGATCCCTGGGCAACACTATCGAGCAGGCCAAGAGCTGGAAGCATAAAGCACATACTATCAGCTCAAGTCAGAAACAAGGGAGAAGAATTATCGAAACCACGATGCGATCAAAGCTCCCCTCGGGATCGTTTGGTTTCAGCACTCGGAACAGTTGCTGTGCAGCAACCACGTGCTGGTGCTGGGTCTTCCTGCCCAGTGCTCGGGATGATCATTTCAGTGTTAACTGTGCTTTTAAGTAGCAGGAAAAAAGGTTCTCTATTTTATCTTTAGACGACAATAACACATTTGATCAATCAGCTAGCATCAATGCAATGATGGATTGAACCATGGACTAACTGTGAGGAAATAATCAACCTCTTCCTGTAAAAGCACTCAGTGGCTCACCAACATGGCACTTTCCACTAGAGGCTCAGGCACAACTCAGGACTCCTCTCATTCCAAATTTGGTCCTCACCTTGTTGCTTACAACCAGCAAATCTTACAGCACCTCGCTGGTCATGCATACCTGTAAATCACTGACTTCCATAGCAACCTCAGCATTCTCTGCTTCTGCATTCTCCTCCTCCTTCACAGGGATTTCTACAGGGACCGTCTGCTCCCTCCAATTTGGACTCTTCTGCGTGGCAAACTGCTCAAACGCCTGCTGGCAGGACATACGCTCTTTGTCAAACACCACCTTTTTGGTCCGTGGAACCACATAAAGCATGGGAATGATCGGCCGAGGTTTAAAGTCATCTTCCTCAACGGGTGACTCTGAGGGCTGAATAATGTTCAGGGGAGCTGGGGGCAGGCTCTTTTCTGCCGTGACGGAGGCGGGTGTTGCGGGGGGCACTGATGACCGTGCTGCTGGTGCCCCGTCCTCTGCCAGCTGCTGCTGGGGGGCTGGCGGGGGTGGCAGCAGTGGCTGCTGTGGCTGCAGAGGTGGCTGAGGTGCTGGCAGATGGTGGAAAAGGTGCTTCTTCTTCCTATCACCCTTCACCTTCGGAGGACGGGCCTTCACTTTGCATTCACCTGTTTCAAGATAATAGACAACATTTAGTTCCATGTGCCAAGAATTCTGGACATTTCATATTTTTCTCCTTTTATCAAAAATCTCCACGCTGGGCTAACATATTACGTTACGGCACTATTCTTCCCTTCAAACAGGCAGACTGAAAGCTGTAGACATATTTCAGCTGTACCTCCGCACTGACTTGGAGAAGCCCACTTTAGAAATAAAAGACTTGTGTCATTTCTATGGACTATTTAATTCTTGACTGGAGCAGAAAGGCTGCCAAAATGAATGTTGCCTGGAGGGGAAATATCTAAATCCCTAAGAAACTGGACAGTGCCAGAAAATACGTAATACATTACATTAGCCGTGACTCTCTATTTCAAAATTTTCTATATCAGCAGGCTCCAAAGTGGGGGGTGCAAAACCACCCACTGGGGTGCAGGAGGAAAATATTTTTGTATAAATAATTCCTATTTTTGTGCATATTTTATAATTTCCATAATACATTAGCACAGTGATACACATAGATTTTATTAAAAAAAAAATATACATCTATCAGGAGGTGTGCTCATTTTTTTGCTGATAAGGAGGCACAATCAAAGTTTGGAGACCGCCATCCTAGATCATCTGTTTGCCTTAAGCTCTGGACGACCCCCATTTCTTGCTCTCTCTATTTGCAAGCCCAGCTCTTCTCTGAGTATTCCTGCAGTCAGTGCATTCAACAGCCCTGGGAAATGAAGTGAACAACTGAATCATTATTACCAAAAGATTTCTACTCTAAGGTCTTTTAAAAGAAGATGCTTTTAAAGCATAAATCAAGTCCAGCATTGAGCTGAGCCTATTCCAGACACCACGTCACAGATATCCTTCCCTAACACTCACTCCATTTGTCCTTGTTTCTCCCAGCTTGCTGTCATTCATCTTATCTGCACAGCACTGCAGGTCTCTTGCACAGCTGTGACAACAGAAACTCTTCTCAAACAGCCAGACATCTCGATATTGCTACCAGAGGCAGTAACATCCCATAAAAGTCTTCCCCACACACCTTCCCAGTATAACTGTTAAAGGATCCACACTCTGATTTT